AGATGGCCCAGGAAGGTTATTCACAGAAAGTGATACACGGTAAGATCTAGGGGAAGGATCGGAACTCAGGTGCTCTTCATGGCACGAAGACTGCAAGCGTCGTTAACATGCCCTAAATTTATAGCACTCTGAGGCAAAGGCCCAGTCACCCCACCCTAGCCACAGCCCTGGGAAATGCCCTGGGCTGGAAGGGAGCAGACTTGGCCTTCCCTAGCCTGGGCCGGTCACTGACTCGCTGGGTGACCTGAGCTAAGTCCTAAACCTCCCAGGCTTCCCGAGTTTCCTCATCCCCAAGGACCCCTTAGGGTTGCTGTTGTGGTTGTGAATCCTGCGAGACAAGGGGCGTGACAGCACCTTGGGAAGAGCAGAAACCAAGGCTGACATAAATGCAGGACAATACCATCGCCTTCCTCTTTCTGGCCTTCAGCTGTTTCCCCCATCTTTAAGATGGGGGGAAGGGGTGGATGGTCCAGACACCAGAGTCAAGAAGGACCTGAGATGCAATCCTGGCAAGTCATGGCCCTTCTGAGCCTCAGTCTCCTCATCTGTAGAATGGGGATAACAACATCTTTTGCCTAGCCTAGCAGCTTAATTTGTGGTTGCGAGAGCGTGGGAGGCAAGGTTGTTGTAGTGGAAAACTCTTGGGGTGCCCGAGGAACACAGCACAGATTCCAGGGGACCATTCCAGATGCTAATGAGCATGATGAACACATTCTCCCCCAGCTCCCCACCTTGGGTGTGCCTGGGCCCCCTGGGGCCTGCTTCCTTCCCCCATCACTTCATTTTCCCAGTAAGAAGAGACGCTGTCAAATCCACCCAGCCTTTAGGATGGCATCTCTGGGCCCTGATGGGGAGGAGGAGGTGGCACGGGCAGCCAGTCCAAGGCTGGGCTGTGTTCTTTTGGCCTGCTGGCTCATCGAGATCGGTTCTAACGGCTCAGACTGCCTGGCTGGACGCACTGGAACAGCTCTCAGTCTGGCCCCACAGACCAAGCACACAGCAGGGAATTCTGGTTTCGTTCAAGCCAGCAAGCTTTCGGCTGAATGTCAACTGGGGACCCAGCCCTGCGCTCCTTGAAGGGAGATGAGAGAGGAAGCCTCAGGCCGGCCTTCACGGGGTTCTTGAGGCACCGGAGAGGACAGGCACAGTTAGCTTCAATAGGAAACCCCAGATTCTTCAAGCTGGAAGGAGTTACCGCTGAATCCAACCCACCCTGATGCCAGAAGCCAGTCTACGGCAACTAGGAGGTTGGCAGCCAGCCAGCACACTTCCAATGTGCTCTGAGGTATCAATCAGGCAATAGACATTCATTAGTACAAGCAAGCCTTGAGAGTCAAAGGCTGCTTCTTCCTAGCTGAGTGTTGGACAGTCTGTAAGACGTTCCCATTTGCACCTCTGCAAACTCTGACGTACCAGGGAAATGTGAAATATCAGGAGCGCTGTGGCGGCTGTGTCTCCAGATGGACTGGCTCCCCATATCCTCTCTTTGGCTCTCTACAGACCGTCCCTATCACACAGACCCGGCCTATGGCCCAGGGGGTCAACAATGGAAACTGTGACTGTTTGCTTATGTTGTATCACAGGAGCCAAGGTTACAGGAAGGCTTAGCAGATGTAGGCCTGCTCAGCTAGGTGACCTTGGCCAAGTCACCTAGCCTCACTGGGGGGGGGGCCCTTTAAGGTTCCTTGCAGCTCTACATCTCTGGTCCTCAGACTAAGGGGATGAAAAAAGGGACCCCAGGGATCCTGATCATCAGAAATCCTCTGAAATTGGTCCTGAAATCCATCCCCCATCCCTTCCCCACTTCCTAGGCCATGGCCGGGAGAACCTCAGAGCCCAGTGCGAGAGGGGACCTTAGAGCAGATCTCAGAGCTCATCTCCTGGTCCCAGTCTATCCTCTGAAAGATGAGGAGACCCAGGGCCACCCATGGTCACACGGGATTCAAACCCAGATCCCAGGGACCCCAAAAGGAGACGAGTTCTAATAAAATAACCTGATTTTAGCTCATGGAGAATACATAGCAGACTGGGGCAGGGGTCCCTTCCATAGCTCATTTCTCCATTAGCCTTTTGGGCTCATTAAATCATCCTAAAGAACTGGGGAGTGGGAGAGATCACCCCATTCTGCCTCAATCCACTCCACCATCCCCAGACCCCCCCACGATGGGGGGGAGAAAGCATCGCCATCCGTCCCCCAACTTTGTCAACCCTCCCCAACCAGAGCCAAGGAAAGCTTCCCCAAAGGACAACTGTGATGAGGAGGGGGAGGGGCATCACAGGGGAAAAAAATGGCCCATTCCGAAGACATCTAAGACATTCTTCATCCACTTCATGGGACAGACCCACCAAGTTAGCTTAAAGGCACGTTTTAGCTCCAGGGGCAAATCTCTGTGGGGCAAGCAGCCTGGGCAAGGGAGAAGGAACTCCTAGGCAGGTGAGGCCCGGGGGCTGGAAGTCTTAGAGGGGTCCGATGGGCCCCCTGCCTCCCAATAATGCCCAGCTCTCCATCTTCCCTCTTCTCCCTCCCCTTCCCTTTCCTCAATAGCCTGAGGGGAGCGGGGAGGGGAGAGGGGGGAAGAGAAACTCCATCCCCCAGAAAGCAGGTGGGGAGGAGGAGGAGGAAGGAGACCAGGACCAGGTCATTCCCCAGCGGGGCAGGCGGCAGGCACATTCATTCCCAACCCACTTTCTGGGCCTCCTGTGGTGCAGGCTCAGCCTCAGACGCAGGACTGCTCTCACATAATCACTGAGTGCTCAACACAATTACCTTGGAGATTGACGCAGGATCTTGGCTGCCCCCCGGGCTCTTGTCAGAGATTACCTGGCTCCCTCCCCTGCCTCCAACAAGGCCAGCAGGAGGAGGGCAGGAGGGCTTGACTGGAAGTGACTAAGGCAAGGTCACCCCAGCACCCAGCCAAAGCGGGAAGGGGCATGGGAAGGAAAGGCTGAGGCTTGTGCAGCCTCCCCAACCAAAGACGGTATTTGGGGGTCACAGGACAACCACTTCTCCCTCCTCCAGCCAGCCTGTGCTGCCCAGCCCTGGCTTTTAGCTCTCCCTGGTCGCCCTCTGAAGCCTTCTCTATGGCCTCCCACCCACACAGACCCAAGCTCAAGATAGAGCTCTAGCCGCAACCTCCCACCTTTCTGACAATGGGGTTCTCCTCCTCCCCAGCTCTCTGCCCAGATAGCCCCTCCCCATCCCAGCATGATATCAGCCAGGCTTTATGGACCCCCACCTCACCTTCTCCTCCCCACCCCCTCCTCTCTTTCCATCAGGCTCATGGGAAATGAAGGGGGGGGTACCAGGGACCACACCCCAAGAGACTTAAAGCCCAAGGCTCAAGCACGAAAAGGAGAAGAGGGCTTATTTAGGCCCTGGAGGAGTTAACTGGGAACTGCCAGCAACCCCCCCCCCCATTCCTAAAGGAGGCGTCTTCAACTTTTGTTTCTTCCTGTCTCTCCAACCCCAAGCTAAGAGAGCTCAAGGGGCTCATTCCCTACCCCTGGCCTGAAAGGAGGGGAGAGCGAGGAAAAGGAAAGCATAGACAAGTTCCCACCTAAGAAGGGCTGGGAGGTAGGAAATGACCCCAGGAGAAGGCAGAGCAAGAGGGGTGATGGGGAGAGGGAGAGAAGATGGGCGAAGGGAGGAGGGAGAAGGGAGGAGAAGGGAGGAGGGAGAAGGGAGGAGAAGAGAGGAGGGAGAAAGGAGGAGAAGGCGAAGAGAGGAGAGAGAGGAAGAAGAGAGGAAAGGAGGGAGGAGGGAGAAGGGGAGAGGAGGGAGAAGGAAGAAAGGGAGAAGAGAGGGGAGGAGGGAGAAGAGAGGGGAGGAGAGAGAAGAGAGGGGAGGAGGGAGAAGAGAGGGGAGGAGGGAGAAGAGA